TATATATATATATATATATATATATATATACCGTTGAATTGCAAGAATTCTTTGTATATTCTGGATGCCATCGATTTAACAGATACATGATGTGCAAATATTTTCTCCCATTCTGTGGGTTCTTTCTTACCCAAAGCCTTGGCATGAAGGCAGAAATGGGACCAGAGATTTATTTCAACACATCTGGAGTAGGAAATGGGTTGGGGAATGTTTGGAGATTTGGGGCTCGGGGAAAAGGCGGAGCGTAACTCCTACCTGCCAGACTGTTTACCCTGGGGTCCTGCCGCTCATCTGGTCAGGCACACGCATGCTGGCCCGCAAATCCGGGAGCCACAGCCTGGGGACAGGCTGCCTCTGGAGGCCGTGTGGCACCACCGGGGACAGCCATCCAGCCACCCGGGAGCGTTGGCACTCACATCACCATGGGCGGGGGGTGATGGGGGTGATTGGAGGCTAATCAGTTGTCTTCACGTGGCCCACCGCCAAATGTCTACTCTGAATTCGCGCCTGCGGGAGGCTGGTGAGGCTTTGCTGTGAGCTGGGCCTGAGGCGGGGCAGGGGTCAGGGAGGCCTGTCCTGCCGGGCCAATGGGGGGCCTCCGTCAGCCGTGAGAGCTATTCTGGGATCCTGTAAGACATTTCCTTTGCTTTTAAAGAGGAACTGAGGGGGCGCCTGGGTGGCTCAGTTCGTTGGGCATCTGCCTCTTGATTTCGGCTCAAGGCAACTCAGGTTGCTGAGTTCGAGCCCCCCATCTGGCTCTCTGCTCTCAGCTTGGAGCGGCTTCAGATCCTCTGCCCCCCTCCCTTGGCCCCTCCCCGGCTCGCCCTGTCTCAAAAATAAACATTTAGAAACATCATAACAATAAAGAACTGAGGCCCCTCCTCTAGACCCTGTGGTCACTTCCTGCGCTGACACCGGCCTCGCCAGCCCCTTCCCCTTCGTGCAGAACTGCTGATGACCTAGAACACAGGCTTGTGGCTGCACCAAGAAGGGCGAGTCTGAGGACAGAGTGTGGGGGCTCATGTCCACTTTCACGCTCTCTCTCTCCCTCCTCCCTTCTAGAAATTAATGGCGCCTGTTCTGCCTGCAGGGGGCTGGCGGTGCCCCTCCTCCTCCCAGACAAGGCGGCCTCTTCCACCCCCGGTGACCCTCCCCTGCCGTGGGACCGCACCTCTGCCGTCTGCCCCATCTCCCTGCCCCTTCCGCGTACTGAGGAAGCTCGGGAGGCCTCCGGGCCAGACCCCCTGGAAGGCAGCCGGGCGGACCTCTGGACCGGCCGGGCCCCCAGCGAGCCCCTCAAAGACAGCCTGAACCACCTCAACCTGCCCCCGCTGCGGGTTCCGCCCACGTGGTGGCCCCCGGTCACGGGCCCGGACGGGGGCCAGGCTCCAGACAGACTCCAGGCGGCCCCGGGGGGCCTCGGGCGCCCGCACTGCCACAAGCCCTGCCACCTGCGGGCGCCCCGCTGCTTCACCTGCAGGTTCTGTGACAAGGAGTACGCCAGCCTGGGCGCCCTCAAGATGCACATCCGCACGCACACGCTGCCCTGCCTCTGCTCTGTCTGCGGCAAGGCCTTCTCCAGGCCCTGGCTGCTGCAGGGCCACATCCGGACCCACACAGGTGGGTCTGTGGGCAGGAGGGCCCCGGGCAGGGGTGAGGGCGGGACCTGGGGGTCAGGCAGGGAGGGAGGCCTTGTAAACAAGAGGAGGGACGGCCACACGGCTTCTGCTTCCCTGCGTGCTGGTTTCCAAAGTCCCACAAACCAGAGGCTCAAACATCAAAAATGCCCTCCGTCCCAGCTCCTGAGGCCGGAGTCTGAAATCCAGGTGTCGCAGGCCCGCGCTCCCTCCAGAGGCGGCAGGGGACGGTCCTTCCTGCCCCGTCCACCTCCCGGGGGCTCCAGGCGTCCGTGCGCCTCTACCCCCGTCCTCACACGGCCTCTCCTGTGTGTGTGTCCCAACCTCCCTCTGTTGTAAGGACACCAGTCCCACTGGACCGAGGCCCACATGCTCCAGTGTGACCCCATCTTAACCTGATGACATGTAACCTTGATGACAAGACCCTATTTTTGAAGTGAGGTCACCCTCACAGGTACTGGGGATTAGGACGTGGACGGATCTTTTTTGAGAGACACAATTCAAGCCCCACCACCTGGCAAAGCGCAGGCTACTCGGGGCCGTAGAGGGTCTGACTTCCCACTTTGCGCGCCCTTCCTGAGCTCTGGAGCAGCAGGAGCGGCACAGGGAGAAAGGCCTGGCCTTTGGTGGCAACCACGGGGGTCACACAGACGAAGGGCACAGACGAGGACTGGGTCTTGACGGGGGGGGGGGGGGGGGGGCCCCCGCGACCCCAGGGGCAAACCCATCCCTGGTGAGAGCGCACCAGAGCCGTGAGCTCAGACCTGAAGGAGGCCTGGGGGCCTCAGCACGTTGTCCGTACATCAGCCACCGCTGCCCAAAGGAGCAGAGGGGGGCTGCCTGCCCCAGGGCAGCTGGGGGTTGAACCACACCTCGCCCCGGCCCGCCAGGAGAGGGACAGGTGGGCACAGAGAGACTGAAGCCCAGGGATAAGGCTCACCGGGCTGAGGCCCACGGCTGAACACACGCCCCCGTCACTGGAGCCTCCCCAGCCCTGAGCCAGGGCTCTGTAAGTAGGACTGTTCTGAGTCACACCCGGGGGAGGCTGGAAAGAAGGGTTTTGCGGGAGCCTTTCTCCGGGCTGAAATTCTAGTCAGTTTTCCTCAGCTCCCCCCCCCCTCCCCAGGGATGTCTCTGAGCATCCCACATCACACCGCCAGGGGCTCAGTGCTCCTGGTCTGGGGGCCCAGAGGGTGGGAGGCCCTGCAGGAGGCTGGCCGGGGGAGGGAATGTGCCTGGGCGTTGGGCAGCAGGGACGCTCTGGGCCCAGGGGGACTGCACGCTGGTGTTTCTCAGGATTCTATTGGGTGTATGGCTGGAAGTCACTCCACGTGGGCGGAAGAGAACAGGTGACCTTTAAGGATCTTTTTACACTTGTTAAGGTTGTCCTGGGGGCCCAGCTCCCAACAGAAGGGCTTTGTCCAAATCCCTGGTCGCCCTGCTTGGAGGTGGCCCAGAGAACACAAGGGTCTTAAGCTGTTCCGAAATGCCTGCCTCCATCGTAAGGGCCGGGGCTCGCCTTCCCGGGAGAGTCTGCAGGGGCCCAGCCGCTTTCCACCACCGGCCTTCCGTGGGCAGGGACAGCTGAGGGCTCCCAGTGCTGCTCAGGACCAGATCTGGGCAAAGGGCCCCAGGAGGGCTCTGGCAGAAACAGAAAGATCTAGCAAAGACCCATGCTAGCTCTTTCCCCTTGGAGAGGGCTTTAGATGTTGCAGTCCTGCCCAGGGGTGACATCCCACCCTGTCCCCAGGCAGCTCTGAGCCTGACCGTGGATGTGGACCTCGTGGCCCTAGGGTTTCCTTCCTCCTGGGGCAGGTGCCGGCCCCCCGGCACGTACCTCCTGGGGAAGGGTGAGGGAAGACCGATGCGTCAGAACTGCCGTGAGCATGTGGAGGAGGCGGAGGGGCTTATACATCGATAAGCAGGGACGGCGGGGGGTTGGGGACGGGGGGGGGGGGGGGGGGCCCGGCCACCTCCTGGGGCGGACCAGACGGACACTCACCCGGCGCCCTCCCGCCCCCAGGTGAGAAGCCGTACACCTGCTCACACTGCGGCAGGGCCTTCGCCGACCGCTCCAATCTCCGGGCCCACCTGCAGACACACTCGGACACCAAGAAATACCAGTGCAACAGCTGCACCAGGACCTTCTCCCGCATGTCGCTCCTGGCGCGGCACGAGGAGTCTGGCTGCCGCCGCGGCCCCTGACGGGTGCGGGCTCAGTGCCGGCGGGAGGGACAGGACCTCACCCCTCTCGGCACCCGTGATGCCCAGCGAGCCCGGCCCCACGCTCACTCGGTGGGTTCCTCCTCTCCCCGCCGGCCACCCACTTCCGTCCAGGGCCAGAGCCGCCCGCCGGCTGTTAGGGCGACTGAGGGAAGACCGTCACGGCGGCGTGAGCCACCATTCCCTGACTTGCCCTGGTTTCTGGTTCTCTTCTCCCAAGAGAAAAGGCGGCTGGGGGTGGCTGCCAGCTGGGCCAGCTCCTGCCACTCGGCCTTCGTGGGCACGGCCACCACAGGCTCACCTCCGCCTGCCTGCGCGCATGCACGCAGCACTGGGTGTCCCGACGCAGAGCCAGGGCCCCGTCCCCAAGCACAGGGCAGTGAGGAGCCTGGCACCCCTGCCTGTCACGTCCTCTGAGACCCCAGGTCCTGCCTGGTGCCCCGGGTCTGCGGAAGAGGCCGAGCCCGGAGTAATTACCCAGATTCCTGGGTAATTTGGGCCTCTGGCCACGGAGCAAGGGAGGCAAAGTGTAGGGACGGGGAGCGGGGAGGTGGGTGGCGACACTCCAAGCAGGTGAGCAGGGCCACCTTCTTTGGGAACAAGGAGACCGGAAATGGGGACAGCCTTATACAGGGAGGGAGAGCGGCCGCGGAGCGTAGATACGCCGGGGGTGAGGCTGTGAGGGCAGAGCTGGGGAGAGTGAGGCCCAGGGAAGAGGCCAGCCGGGGGCCGTGTGTGTCTGCGTGGGCGGGGTGCTCACAAGAGAACCCAGTCCTGGGTCTGCACACGTCTCCACCGAGACCACCGTGTGCACAACCGCCCGTGGCACCGTCGCCCCTTCTCTGCCCGCCCTCTCCTGAGGCCATAGGCGTCTACAGCGGAGGGAGTGGGTGCTGCCTCAGACACATGCCTCCTGAACCGACTCAGATGCCAACAGGAGTCCCCTCCCCAGCATCCTGCCCCCGAGTGCGGCCTCTGCCCACCCCCAGACCCCCGGGATGTCACCTGCTGGGCTGGGCCTCAATCTTGCTAGCGTGTCTTAGCGTCTCCGGCCTGCCCCTGGAGGGCAGCCCGAGTCTAATGGGGACTGACTGAGTTCTTGATGCCCGGAGGGGACAGCCGCCCCACTTCTGGCCCAGGCTGAGGGACAAAGTTAGGCTCCTGTTCCTGGCCCTGAGTGGGGGCCACAGGGCAAGCGGCAGAGGCCGCATGTCGGCCCTGGGCCTCGCAGACCCACTGAAGCACATTCACCAGCCCGCTGCTGGGCCACGCGGCACCTGTAGATCCTGCCCGAGGCTCCTCGGGGTGAAAGGGCCTGCGTGGCTGGTTTGATAATGGCCATCGGAGGGGTCTTGGGGACATCCCAGAGGAAACCTGACCGTGATGTGGGGCTTCTCTGGACCAAGGGTGACCTCGACGAAACTGGCCACCCAGGA